ACTTAAATGACATGAACATTGAAGATAACGATGATGATGAATGTAACTTATCAATTGTATCGCATCTCAAAAAGCAGCAAGAGGATCAGCCGAAACGAAAATCTTTGATGTTTCAAGATGTGACAAACATTCTCGGCTCTGAATCCATCGGCTCTGAATTCATCGTTTATGATGGAACAAATGCGAATATCTTTGTACTTCAAGTAACAAAGGATCAAATCATAACGCTCTCGATAAAGGGGGAAATCATTTTACACAACAGTAAGTTGAAATCTTCAGCAAGTGGCTCGAATAGGTACGTAGCGAGCCGAGACTCTTCCCTTTGCGCACTCCTGAATAATAACTAGAGCCCGATTTCTTGAGCCCGACACAAGACTTTCCAGACTTCCGGATCCCACTACATGCCTAGTCCCAGAACACTCTAGGGCTTTGCTGAGCTATTGTCCTCTCTAGCTTAGCTATCGAATTCTTTTTAGACACTGGCAACCCAGCTGAACATCTATCGCCGTCCCATGTCGGTTGTAGAATGCCACCAGATCCAATTTTTGACACAATGACCGGTGGTGAAACTATTCTAGGCAATAGCAGTCGCGGTTGTGGTGTGGGCACTCGACAGCTATGTTCTCCCACTGATATATTCATGACATCGACGAATCATCTTTACATCGTTGATTCTGGTAATAGAAGAATTCAAAAGTACAACTTAGAAGATCAAAGTGTCGAAACAGTGATTGGTTCTGTTAAACTGAGAGAACCGATTAGTGTCTATGTTGTTGGTGGTGGCACAGACGAGGAGATCTATGTACTCGACCGTGTGAATCGGACAGATTTTGTCGTTAAATTATGGAAGAATAAGAACGACATAGATGGAACGATTGTAATTCCTAGTGATTCTGAAATCTACTATGACCTCTATCTGGATGGCAACTCCAACATCTATCTTTCGACTTACTACGAAATTAAGAAATGGTTTGCGCCTGACTACGGCTATGGTATCATTATTGCTCAATTCCATTCACAGGAAAATTCGGTACCAATCTATGTTGATGAAGATTATAATTTATACTTTTACGATTGTGCTGAGCCTGAAATTCAAATGTGGCCAATTGGTGGTGCTGTGGAGCCTAGTTTCAAAAGGACATTCGCTTCTTTACGGTCTACAGAGACGGATGGCCCAATTGGCTTTACACTGGACTGTAACAACAATATTTATTTTAGTGTTCGTGTTAATAAGAGTCACTATGCAATCTTTAGAGTGAACCAACAGGTGAACGGCAAGATAGAGACTGTTCTTCTAAATCCCTCGTATATTTCAGCTATTCAGTTTGATCAATATGGCAATTTATATGTGTCTGGAAGGCAAGAACATCAGATAAGGAAATTTGCAGTTTTAAATTGAAGGGCGAAATAAAAGTTGCTTGAATAAGCTTATTTTTTCATTCCGCTAGGTTTATTTTCTTCGAAATTATGTTCACTGTTCTTCCATTTTGAATTAGATATTACATACCTTGATTTTCGTGCACACGGTTTTCACTATAAAACTAGTTCATAAGACATCAGTAGAAGGCGCAAGCCTGTTATACATGTTACTCCCATGTGATAATTTCGACTCTAAAAAACGCGTTTATAAACGCAATTCAAACGCGTTTAAACGGCTTAAGAATGAAACATTTGCACCGTTCAGACGCCTTTTGTTTCGCTTCTATACCAATGCGTTCGAACGCATTTACCTGGCAAGTAGCGTTCAAACGCGTTTTGTTCATCAAACGCTTAAAAACGACCTAGAAATGAAACATTTGAAGCGTTCAAATGCGTTTATCAAAACTTCCGAAAAAAGCAAAAAAAAGAATATTATGTGTCACTATCGATATGGCTGTCTATATGGTTCATTTCCTTCAAGATATCTCTATCCTTCTCCCTAGAAGTAGCAGAACAATTATTACTTACGAAATGACGGCGACTGACGGGTTCGAACATGAGACCTAAATAATACGGAGCGAGACACGTATCATTGAGCTATTGGTGCTCGACAAAGATTGATATATCTTTCTGTCATATTATGTACTATAGGCGGAAAGAGTTTAGAAACCAAAGAAAGAAGAGAAATTCTCTGACGACTATAACGAAAGAAGTACGTCATTTTCTTTTATTTCTTATACGAATTCAAGTACATTCGCTACCCTAGAGATCAAATCTTATATAAGATTCCTATAGGAATCTTATAGAATATCTGCAAGAATCTTATAAAAATCTTATGAATTTCTTAATAAGGCAGTCGATGGAAATGCGTAATTTATTAATAAGAATCTTATATAAGAAACTGATAAGATTTGTATAAGAATCTTTAAGATTCTTATCAGAGTCTTATAAGATTCTTATATAAGAAATTGGTAAGATTTATGTAAGATTCTGATAAGAATCTTATAGGAAG